ACGTGGTGGTGCTCAACGAAAAGGTGGGCCTGATCCAGTGGGTACCGCAATGCGTCACGCTGAAGCAAGCGGTGTTTCTGCCGCGCCACCGCTACCAGTACAACTTGCCGCGCGTAAAGGTCGAGCGCGAGCTGCAGCAAGAGTACCTCAGCGAGTTCCGCCGCGCCACACAAGAGCTGCCAGCGCTGCTGCCCGTCTGGTACCTCGCCGCGTTCGGCCGCTCGAGCTCGTTCTGGCTGCAGGCGCGGCTGAAGTTCCTGATTTCGCACGGCTTTTGGAGCGTCGCGGGCTTCGTGCTGGGGCTCGGCGACCGCCACCTCGAAAACGTGCTGATTGACGCGTGCAGCGGCGCGCTGCTGCACGACGACTTCGACTGCCTGCTCGGAAAAGGGCTCTCGCTGCCGGTCCCGGAGCTCGTGCCCTTTCGGCACACGCGCAACATGCAGCTCATGGCCGCGCTTTACCCCGCGCTCTTCGTGGAGCACATGACCGGCGTGCTGCAGAACGTGTACCGCAACAACGGCGCGCTCTTTCTCGCGCTGCTGCAGAACTTCTACGCGGACCCACTGATGGACTGGTGCGGCGAAGCGGTCGACTTCGACGCGATCCGCGCGGTGAAGCTCAAGCTCGCGGGCCACGTGAACTGCAGCGGGCTGTTCACCGAGCTCAGCCAGGTGCTGCCGGCCGACGCCGCCGCGAAGGCCGTCAAGCGCAGCCAGTTGACCGCGTTTTCGCTGCAGCGGCACGCCGCGGCCACGCAGGTGCACCTGCTCTTGAAGGCCGCCGCCGACGAACTGAACCTCGCGCTGATGTACGTCGGCTGGAACAGCTTCTTTTGATCAGAGCCCGGGGAACGCGAGCTGCGCCTTGTCACAGGGCAGCGGCGCGCGCTGGAACCATGGGTGCGCGCACGCCTTGCTCGCGGAGATGCGCTCCGCGGGGTTCAGCGCGAGGCACTGCTGCAGCAGGTCGACCGCTTCCGGGTCGAGCGCGGTGAACACGCTCGCCAGCGGCGTCGGCGCGCGGTGCTCGAACAGCTGGAACTCGATCAGGCTGTACGCGAGCGGCCAGAGCGTGCCGGCGTTGTCCTTCGAGCCGGGCGTGCCGAGCACCGCGAAGATCTTCGCGAGCTGCTCCTCGCGGTTCGCGCCGTTGAACAGCGGCTGGCCGCCCAGGAAGATCTCCGCGAGGATGCAGCCGAACGCCCAGACGTCTACTTTGTCCTGGTACATTTCCGCGCCGAGCAGCAGCTCCGGCGCGCGGTACCAGAGCGTCACGACTTCTTCGCGGTAGTTGAACTTGCGGCTCGTGCCGAAGCTTGTGGCCATGCCGTAGTCCGCGAGCAGCACATTGCCCGCGCGGTCCACGAACACGTTCGCCGGCGACAAGTCGCGATGCAGAAACCAGTGGCTGTGCAGGAACGCCAAGCCTTCCAGAATCGACAGCGCCAGCCGCTTCACGTGCGCCTCCGAGAGCGCCGTGTGCCGGCTCAGCACGCGCTTCAGGTCGCACGTGTACAGCGGCATCACCGTGCAGACCTGCTGCGCGCGCACGTACACGGCCTGCAGCGGAATCACGTGCGCGCTGCGCAGCTCCTTCATTACCATCACCTCCTGAAACATCGTGCGCGGGATCCCGTGCATCCAGATCGGCACCTTGCTCGCAATCTCTGCGCTGATCGGCTCGCCGCTCGCGCCCGTCGCGGGCGCGAGGTTGAAGAACTCTTTCACCGCGAACTCCGCGTTCCCGTCCGCGCGTCGCGCGCGGAACACCTGCCCGTACGCGCCCTTGCCGAGCGGCTCGTCCGCGAGCTTCTCGAATTGCGCGCTCTCTTCGAGTTCGGGGTCGTCCGTGTTCATGCGGCGTTCGCTTGCTTCGCCGTGGCGCTTCGCTCAGAGCTTCGCCGTGGCGCTTCGCTCAGTGCTTCGCAATTTGCGCTTTCAGCTGCCGCAGCAGTTCCGTGTGCAAATTGGTTAATTCGCTAGCGGCTAAAATCTGCGCCGGGAAATTGTAAAACAAAAACGCGGGGCAGCGTAGCAACGCGCCTGCGGCGGCTTAACGCGCACTTACCGAGTTCCGCGAGAA